TTTCGAGAGAAATTCCCAGTCTCGACCCAAACCGCTATAACATTCTTCTTTTTCACATACCATCAGAAACAGGCTTCCAAACATACATTTCTTTCTTCCGAATCTATCAGCAACCCATCCTCCAACGATGGAGCCACACAGCATTCCCATGTAAAAGCTTGATTGCATGAAAGCAGTGACATATGCTCGGTCACAGATGAGACCCCACTAAAATAATAATACATTTTTAGACAAAACGGTTAATGTGAACGTATATGAACTTGAGGGCGACTAGGTAGTAGTTATAGCCTTTCATGATTCTTTTAATTGTTTTTTTCTTTTTTTAAAGACGGGGCTAGACATACCTCTGATACGGCACTAACGTATTTCTGATCAAATGAATATGATGTGCAGTTGTTGCAACATTTGCTTAACGGACATGTCACATTCGATGAATCGCACTTGAACTTTTGAGTTCCATAACTAAAAATCATGGACCCAAACTGTACTGCCATTGGGATTTTCATGGCAGTGATGAACCAATAAACGCAGTGTTGATATCGACCAAACGACTTGATTTGGCTGAAAACATCGTCAAAAGTATCCTCTCTGTTGCTTCCATCTTCTTTCTCCATGTTCTGAAATGATAAAAGTCGAGATTCAATAAATACTTGCATCCAAGAGTTCAGTAAAAGCTAGTTAAAAACAAGACAAAAAAAAATCACGGCTTCTGGACAATGCTGAAACTAAGTATGGAGAGGTATTCATTAATGATTAGTTTCATCAAATGTATATCATAAAAATTATGGTTAATCACTAGAAAAAGAGGCAAATTATTAATAAATGAAACTACCACTTGGAAAATCAAACGTACAGCAGAGTTTGCTGTAGCCTTATGAGGATAAAATGTCCGTTTCTCTTGATATGACGTTTCTAGACATTCTCGGGTACCCAGCAGCAGCTTTTGTTGCTTGCTCCTTACTCCCAGAGATGTAGTACCCTTGCCGAAAACTCTATTCAACAGGGCGGCCACTAAATTGATCAACCAATCAGACAATTCGACTCAATTCAAAAACTCTCTCACGTCATTTGTTAATGTCTGGATTTTTAACTTCCAAAGTAGTTGACACAGCTGACATCGATTGCATTGAAAATCAGTGTGTAGCACTAAAAAGTCACTGGGACCAACCCCATTCAGTCCTAAGTGCATCATATTCAATAATTGAAGCAAATCTATGTTTACTTTCTTTATGTATCTATATATGGACATGTAGCGATGTACCGAGTTTCCATGACTCAAGTTTGAGGTAACAACGTTCGTACAAATATTAGTATTACCTATGCTTAGTGTGAACAAATATTCACCAATTAGTTTGAAGTCAGTGCTCTCTATGTGGCAAATGACTAAAAGCTACTAAAAATGGAGATTCTGTCTTAACGATATGTAATAATGGAAGTCTACATATTCACCTAAATTAATGAAGGGCTCATTACTCAGATGACAAAAACAGGTCAGTGTTACTGATGATTTTAATAAAATTTAATTCATGGAACAAGAAGAACTAGAAGAACAAGAACAAGAAGAATTTGTATCACTAAAACGACATACACTCAAAACCATGTAAAATTTGTCTTAACAAGAAGAATGTGYATCATAAAAGGACATACAACTTAAAACCATGCGCAATTTTTCTTTTACCTCATGGTTAGTCTACAAAATAGCGAAAATTGGCGTTTCTTTCAACTATGCTCAACCGGACGTGATGATGTCAGCCAGGCCGTATGTAATCAGCCAATCGGTGCGCGAGAATTCACACAAGTGTGCTAAAATGATATTGAGATGTATTTTAAAAGATCTTTGCTGGCTGTGAAAGTACACCAGATGGATAATGTGAAGAAATCTTGTTAACACTGCACAACACTAACTACACAGAGAACTGTGTAACTGACTAGCAAGAGTAAACGTGTAATCGGCTTGTGACTTCAGAATTCAATGCCATCGGTAAACTGAGGAAACAGGATATTCTTCTAAGCTTAGAACAAACTTTCAAAGTGAAAATAAATATAATCTGTGTTTGTGATAAATGTATAATAAGGGGGAGGGAAGAATCTCAGCCTTTCGCAAACTCCATACTCCGCGCACTTACTAGAACTACGAAAATGAAACACTGATTCCACTAAGAGGAACTGATGATTCCAGTTTTATTTGAGCTGTGAAATATCCTTGAATTTTCACAGTATTATTCAAAATCGCGTTTCTTCCATTTCAWCCTCCTCATTTTCCTTTCCATAAATCTTCAATTCCTTTTTTTGATTGCCMTTCTTCCCACAACAAGGCACGCTATAGTCTAACTGAGCCTCTTCCGCTGCTTCAATGGTCTGTTCCATGTTAGCAAATAACGTTTCAGGTAAAAGTAACGCCAGTAATGCTGAAGAAATACCCAAACCTCCAAATATGYAGAATGGTACGRTCATGGATACTCCGTGCAGTTGAGMCTGGAAAAAATGARGGAGTCATACTTATCGAAAAATGWCTGSTCAAGTCYATGAAACATTCCATACTTTCATGGCTTTCATAAAAAAATGTAAAAAWGTTGTTTTTATGATAACTTACCATAATAACAATGAATGGAGATAATATGGCGCCAATCCGAGCTGAGAAATTTGCAAAACCAAGTGACAGATTCCTTCAAAATAGAAAACGTATACTACTTAGTGAATACATGCTGGTTCAAGTTAGTTGTCAATGTCCATCAGCAAGGTTAAACTACGAGTGGTGACTTGGTTTCTCAGTCGGAGAGGTGAAGCTAAGCGGATCTAGCTGAAGGATACCGTTGATATGTCTCCTGAGACCTTGTAAACTTATGCATATTCTTCTCCTATTTTGTATCTGAATACAATCCTGTAAACTTATGTCTCATGCTGACCATATGTCGAGCCTTTACCTGACAACGGTTGGAAACAGCTCTGATGTCCACATGCCGACGAGGGTGAACTGACATCCCATCACAGCTTTGCCAATTATTGCTAATGCAGTCCTTACTTCAGGCACATCTACAATAAGACAATYAATACTCCATGTCAGTCTCTGTTATTTAGGATTGGCCTCAATCAACAATTTGGCCTGTGTTGTGATTAACTAGTATTTTTTTGCTTGCATTTCAACAACCTATTGTTACTATATAAAAGTACAACTTTCAAGCCTGAAAAACTAAGAAAAATTCGACTTTCTGCCTGTCTGTCGTTTTGTCTGCCGTTGATTATTAATATTTTCTTAGCTCTGTACTTGCAATGGCTTTGTGAATAAAGTCTAAATTCCTAAATTTTTTAGTCAGGATAAAGGAGACTTTCCTTTTAGCTACTGTTTCGTATGATAAGAAAAGTTTATACCTTTGGGAATAAATGGCATGCTTGTAAGAGCGACTGCACCCAAGCACATCAAACCAGTGAAGGAAATACGACGGCCRAAACTAAAAAAGCAAGGAATAGAAAATCATACTTAATCCTTTAGATCACACCCTTAGCCACCCTCTACCTTACTCGTCCGTAACCACTACACTTTTGAAATAATTGCTATCTTCATGACTTGGGTGGCGAACCCAACAGGAAGTTATCAATAAATGTCTTGATTGCCTCTATCCTGTATTTTTTGTAACTTACCGAGCTACCAAGATCCACATTGAAAGAATTGCAGGAATATCAGCAAGAGTCATGATAAGTACGTTGATGAAAATATCGCCATASAGCCTTGTCACATACAGACGCATAGCAATGAACAATAAAGCCACGACAAACCTAAAAGATRATGAATAATAAGAATACAGCTTGTAAACTTAAACTGACTAAGTCACAATATCTTTTGATTAGTCACAGTGACATAAGACAAAAAGTTAGAGAAACTTTTGCTTTCTTCCGTTTCTTTACAATTCTCCTATTTCTCGATTCTTTGTTTTCACTATACTTCAGAGCGGCAATCTTGGAGGAACCTCAACAAAGGATTTCTCATATCTATTGTTAATTCCTCCAGCATGCCCGCCGGTCTATTGTCTTTTAATCTCATGGCAATGGTTGAAAGCGATCAATTCTATATTCAGGAGGGGAAGCTTAACAATTACATGTAATCATCGCCCAATATGTTGCATGCATATAAAAATTAATGAGAATAAAAAGCGTCGTTAATCTGGAAGCACATTTTTCTTTCCCAAGTTTTCCCACGGTCACGCGACAAAACTTCACATCAGGSCTTACGTTATTTCATTTTTAACTATGTGCTCACCAACTGAATCCTATGACGAGACTGTAACGTCGAAGTCTTGGTGTCTTGAATAAATCGATGACATGAAAATTTTGACGGACTTTCTGTTTTGCAAGCTGAGCGTTCCTGACTTTCTCTAACGTGGATCTCAGTTGTTGCTTGTCTACAGGCTTATCCTTTTTGCCACCAAACTTTTCGAGGATGGTTTGAGCCTCATCCAATCGACCTTGAGTTACAAGCCAACGCGGTGATTCTGGAAGAATCCTAAAAGTATGAATTAGTATGGGTACAGTTTAGCGTTATTCAGGGTTAGGTTATGAAATGGTGATTGAACTGGATAAATCATGCTAAGTCGATAGTTTTTCTGCTTCTGAATAACGGTAGTCTCAGTTTTCAGCCGAAGATACTAGGTACGGCTCTCCCACCAGTACAGTCTCTCCCGTGATCTGTACGTTTGAACAGTCATACGAAATCCACTCTAAGCAAGCACTATTTACCATATCTCTAGTGTTACTAAAGGTTTTTAAAATACTTTTATTGAGAGTTTACAACACCAACTGGGCTAATTGAATCATCCCCAGCCTAAAAACAAACCCGAGCGGCATCACTTACAGGTAGAATGGCAGGAAGAGGAATCCAGGTATAGAACCAGCAATGACCGTGTGTCGCCAGTAAGGGAGGAGGTATGCAATCGTTACATCTATTGCTCCTCCGACTTTATAGAGAAGCGACGTGGCCACACCAGCAAAGGTTCTTTTGGTTTGTCCAACAATCTCAATGGATAACGCAAAACTTGATAACATAACAGAAACCTGGCCAAGGCCGCCACAAAAACGCAAAATGATCACTGCAATTGGTGAATCAACAAACGCAGAACAGAGAGAAAAAGTTGCCTGATAAAACAATTGTAGTGAAAATATATAAGCACTTTTGAAAGTGAGAAGACAATTCACATGATCACAACGGCAACTGCAATGACATTGTTCTTTTTCACATACCACCAGAAACAAGCTTCCAAACATGCATTTCTTTCTTCCAAATCTATCAGCAACCCATCCTCCAACGATGGAGCCACACAGCATTCCCATGTAAAAGCTTGATTGCATTAAAGCAGTGACATATGCTCG